CCATAGTTCTTTCTGAGAGTCTTTGTGGTATATCAGGATACTCTTATCCCTTAAACCAGGAAGATCAAACATGTTAATCATAACTGGAATTAGGTAGTAAACTCCCTTCCATTGCACTGGCTATTTTTCAATATTAAAATATATTATTTTAAATGTGTTATAATAATCCCAGCAAAGCTAACAGCTTCCTTCTCTTTACTATTCCAGGAATACTGTTAAAGAGATTATACAGTTAGAAAAGATGTACAATATGCTACATTTTATCTCTATATTTTAGGAAATGTTTGAGACTATTATATATTTAACTTGTACTTTAATATATCACACTGCTCACAGATATGTAATATCTGAAATCAAACATATATAAACATGAGCATATCCTCCTATATATGTAGATGTGGCTTTGTTCACCTAAACTTGCTACGAGGAAGCTTTATTGTCACCCAGTTGGTCATTGAACATTTACTGGGCTCCTCCCCTGTGGGAGGCTCACTCTTAGAGCTGATAATTTAGTGAGGGACCCCAGTATGAAAGTAGTGTAAGGCAGTATAGCCAGCTTGCACACAAAGCAGAAAGAGAAAGATCTGCCTGAGCTGGGGAAAGAGGGGTGGGATTGGGGCTTGGAGAAGTGAGGTCAGGCTGCCTTTCTCCTTGCAAAGCTTTCTCTAAAGCTTTCATGGAATATCTTCCCTCTTTCCTACTGTGTTATTCTGAAGCCAGAAGGAACTGGGTTTATCTTCCTTCTTTCTTACCAAGTAACTATGCTATGTGGTTTTGCACAAATAATAAAATCTGAACATTTGATTCTCTATTTTTAATAATAGATAACACTTACATTATACCTATGACTTGCCAGATACTGTTTTAAGCAATATATACATGTACTTAAGCAATATTTATATATTAACCCAGCTAATTTTTTTATTTTTTATTTTTATTTATTTTTTTGGTAGAGACAGGGTCCTACCATGTTGCCCAGGCTGGTCTCGAACTCCTGGACTGAAGCAGTCCTCCCACCTAAGCTTCCCAAAATGCTAGGATTACAGCTGTGAGCCTCTGCACCTGGCCTACTTAAAAATTATTTTCCAACAAATACTTTAAATAAATAAAGCAAATACGTATATGTGGTTGGAGAAATTTGTTATTGAAATAGAAATGCTAGTAGCCTCGACATGGTATATATATATAAACTTATTATTTACATTGACCCTTTGTGATAGACCACTGTTATTAAATGGGAACATGTTAATTTTCCTCATGAAAAGTTTTTTGATAAAATGAAAATAAAGAATTAAAGTTATTTAGAGATTTAGAAAGTAGTTAAAGTATAATCATCTTAAATACATTCTTAGTCATTATGTGGGAGGCTAGAATTGCAGTATATTTTCTTGAGGAAAAGAAAAACTAGAATAAACACTATCACAAAGAGGAGTAAAAAATAAGTGAATATTCTTGCTAATTGGTAATTCTTGCTAATTCGGTAGGAAATAAGAATCTGTAGAAATTCCTTATTAAAATACCTAGCTTGAACCTGCCTGTCTGGCTGAGATACATGATGTTTCTCTCCTTAATCTCATGTACTTGCATTGACATGTTAAAAATTATGATGCTCAAAGGGAGAAGAACAGGCCCCATGAATTATAAAATGCAAGAACTGTTTGCCTTCTTGATGTTGGTACTGAAAGTAGTTTAGATTGCAGGCTGCTAGTATTATTTTATTCATCTATTTATTTTTGAGACCAAGTTTCATTCTCAGGGCAGGGGAATTCTAGAACTTAGCCTGTCACCCAGGCTGGAGTAAAGTGGTTTGATCTCTGCTCACTGTAATATCCACTGCCTCCTGGGTTCAAGTGATTCTTCTGCCTTAGCCTCCTGAGTAGCTGGGACTACAGGCACCCGCCACCACACCCGGCTAATTTTTATATATTTAGTAGAGATGGAGTTTCATCATGTTGGCCAGGCTGGTCTCAAACTCCTGACCTCAGGTGATCAGCCCACCTTAGCCTCCCAAAGTTCTGGGATTACAGGCATGAGCCACCGTGCCCAGCCCTGCTAGTATTATTTGATTAGTTCTTAAAAGCAGTTTATCTGAGGCCAGCTGTCCCACCTGAATCCTATGCCACCCCCTGCTAATTTAAGGGCGTTCTTGTTAAATCTGTTAAAATGTTAATGTTATTTTTCTTTTAAAGTTGTATTTATTTATTTAGACAGGGCCTCGCTTTGTTGCCCAGGCTGGAGTGCAGTGGTACAGTCTTGGCTCACTGCAGCCTCAAAGTTCTGGGCTCAAGCAGTGCTCCTGCCTCAGCCTCCCGAGTAGCTGGGACTATGGGCATGTACCACCACACCTGGCTAATTTTCTTATGTTTTGTAGAGATAGGATCCTACCATGTTGTCCAGGCTGGTCTCAAACATTCCTCCCATCTCAGCCCCCAAAATGCTAGGATTACAGCTATAAGCCTCTGTACCTGGCCTACTTAGATTTTTTTTCCAATAAATACTTTAAATAAACAGGCAAATACATATATGTGATTGGAGAATTTTGTTATTGAAGTAGAAATGCTAATAGCCTTGACATGGTATATCTACTCTTAGGGTTCTGTGGCAGGCATGCTAAGTTCTAGAATTCCCCTGCCCTGAGTGTGATTTCTTTGTCCCAGAGTTTTACCTGCTTCATATTCCCTGAATGTGCTGTGCACCCTCAAGGCCCTGCAACTTAGCTGAGGCTTTTTTCTCACCCAAAATGCCCTTGTCCATTTTTTCTCTCTGGCTGATACTTCCTGTCACAACTCAGCAGTCCCATGGGTTTTTTTTCCCTTTTGAAATTATTTCCGGCCACAAATCCAGAGTTAGATGCCAGTTTTCTTCTGGATCCTCCATATTCTCATAACATCCTGTGCCTAACTTTCTTAGAGCACTGACTGCATTGAATTTTAATAATGGGTTTTAACTGTCCCCTCCCTACCTCTTGTCTGTCAATGTTCAATGTTTGGTACATTCTAGAGGCTCTTCTGTAAATATTGACAGAAGAAGCAATACAGAGCTGCTGCCTTTGAAGCTGAATATTTAATCCATGATCATTCAAAAGTGGGAAGATGGACACTGTTAGATGAGGGGAGCATTACCGCCTAGGCTTGCACTACCCTGGAGGAGGCTGTTGTAAGAGTTATATTGGAGGGCTGGGTGCGGTGGCCACGTCTGCAATCCCCGGACTTTGGGAGGATTACCTGAGGTAAGGAGTTTCAGACCAGCCTGGCCAACATGATAAAACCCCGTCTCTACTAAAAATACAAAAATAGCTGGGCATGGTGGCGCATGCCTATAATCCCAGCTACTTGGGAGGCTGAGGCAGGAAAATCTCTTGAACCTGGGAGGCAGAGATTGCAGTGAGCCAAGATCGGGCCTCTGCACTCCAGCCTGAGCAACAGATCAAGACTCTGTCTCAAAAAAAAAAAAAAAAAAAAAAAA